TCTGCACCACCACGGCCCACTGCCAGCACGTCAGAGAGTCTTCTCCCATGGAAAAACTCCTCTGTTGCCAGCATCCATCTGAACTCACCTCGCCAGGCATTAAAAAGTTTCTCTGACAGGCAGGGACTGCTATGCAAAAGAGCTAAAAGGTTAAGGGGAAGTCCCTCGGGTTGGACGCTATGTCCTGGTTTCTCTGCAGGGTCACAGCTCACGACTCAACGTTGCAAGACCACTTTTTGTATGTAAGGAAGCAAGGCGAGCTTTAGGTACCACATGCCAAGAGTGAAGCTTCTCCAGTGCATGACTTGATCCAATCACCCTCAGCTCCTTCCTGCCACGCAGGACGGCCCTTCTAGTCTTAGCTCAGGCTTCCAGCTTTCCTTTGAGGAAAACACAGAGCACTTTATGGTGCAATATTGCATATTACACATACGCAGCTCGGAGTAAGGGGTATGAACAAAGATATGAAAAAAGCGCTGCCTTTTTTTTTTTGCCAGGAGCTCTGCTCCAATGTTGGGGTGCCACTTGCACCCCTCCCCGGACACCAGTGCTCCACACTTCGCCCCTCTAGGGGAGACACATTCCAGAGCACAATCAAACCTATTGTGCAGCTCTAAAACAGTTTTCGCCTTAATCTGCCCAGGAAGGGGTGGGGGGGGGGCGGAGAACAGCACAAGGATTTTATATCTAATCCAATATATCTACACTGACATCTTGTGGAGATCATGGGACCGGAATGCGACAGCCACTCCGCAGGGTGGGATTTACACCCTCCCTGTGTCCTGGTGGACACCATCCCATTGGCCACCGGCCTTCCCAATGCATCCACAGGTGTGTCCCCAGTGAAAACTAGGTCCTGCAACCTCAGAAGTCGTGGTTCTCTGTCCACAAACATCGCTTTGCTCAGTGATCCTCGCAAACCCAACTAGAATGAGACTATTTGCTTTTAAATCCTCACTGAAAGCAATACCATGGCCCCTCTTGCATTAATGCCACCATGCTCCAGGCTTCTCATCAAAGCACAACCTTCCCATGAGGAGCTATTTTCATGCTGGAGTTTTATTATCTCTGTAAGTGCTGGAAGGAAACGGACCTGTGTAGCACTTCAGGACTCCTTTAAGTTTGGGAACACGCACAAGATTTTCTTCTCTCTTCACCCCGTTCATTTTAGTTCCTCTACTGGGTCAGAAGAGTTAAAATTAAGGCACTGCCATCTTTCTTCCAGTGCTCGGGTGTGTGTTCAAGGAGCACACACCCCCTGTCAGGCACAGGCAACATCAGTGCTGTGGTGTTTGGTAGGGGTTAATGCCAAGAGCTGAAATCCCAGCACAGATAATCTTGCAACCAAACCATACAATCATTCCCCCAACTTCTTCCCAATACCATGCTGGGGAGCAAATACTCACACTTGCTCCATAGATGGGGCAAAAGTGCAGATTTCTAGCAAAGCATTCATATCAAATAGATTTGAGAAGACCAAGGGTGCCACCAGATGTCAGAGACAAGATTTGGAGCACAACCCAAGGGGCCACCATTTACACCCTGCTGCAATTCCCTGACAACGCATTAAATTACTCAGCTCTTCATGGGGTTTTCACCCTACTCACTCCTGTCTTTCCCTTTGGGCAAGGGATCATCCCTGAGCAGTTCGTTATTTTCCAGCCCAATTAGCCCTTGGGAAGCAGAAGAAAAGAAGTTACGGGAAAGAGACAGACAGGTAATAAATGTTATGCCTTTAACTTCATTACACCTTTAAAAACGATATGGGCCCTTTTCTTCCCTCTCTCTACCAACATGGAGTTGCTGCCCTCTCCCAGGTCTTCTACCCACACCAGTGCCTCTGTCTCCTCCAGGATGACCAAAGACCCACTGAAACCGCTGTGGTAGCACCAGATGGGTGGAAAATGGAGACTACCTGGGTGTGATGGAAAGGCGGGGAAAAGGAGCTCTGGACTTCTTCATGGTGTAGCAGCCAACCTGGGGAAGCCACGACCATCATTCACAGTGCCATCAATAGCTACTACAGTCACCAACAGCAAGCCTACACCTTTGCATGCAACTTTACAGGGGCTCAGCCATCTCTACTCAACAAGACCATTCTCCTCCTTGTACGTACCCATTGTAGCCACCCCAGAGGAAAAACTCTCACCTAAAAACCGCATATGGACAACATTGCCTGCAATTATGGCTCCAGTTCAGTCTGCTCCATCTTCTCACTCTCCTCAGGGCATCATCAACTGCCCCAGCTGCCCAACAACTTTCCAATGAGGGTATCACGGAGGTAGGGGATTAGCAGAACATTAAGAAGACATGCATAAAGAAGGAAATGTAAGATGGCAGAACATAACAAATGCTATTTTTTGCCTTGGACAGGTCCTAACGCCGAGTCCATCAAGTTACAGGTAATACCACCTGACCAGTTACAAGAGAGGGAAAACCAACCATCATGAGAACAGCTGGAATGACTCCAGTGTGGGAATCACCAGCTGCAGCGCTGGGTCCACTCTGAACAAGGGCAGACAGCTTTTATCCTTTGGGCTGCAAAAGAAAAGGGGTGATTTTTATGCTTCTAAGTGACTAATCTTTAATCACTTTAAATTCCTACAAGCCTACTCCTTTGGGACTGCCAAGAAGGGTACACCCCAAACCCCCACACACATAAAAGCCCTGCAACTTGGGCTCTCTTAGTGTCCCTTGGGCAGTCCCAGTAAGCACCCATACGGATGCGCAGAGAGCTCCAATTATTCAAATCCTGTTGCCTAGTGTTAACTCTCAAATCTATATTTAAGTATCTAAGCAGGAATTACCGCAGCTTTCCAAAGATCCTAAGCACCGAGAGCTCTTGTTAAGAGCTTGTCGAAGTACTGGCCTCCTAATGAATCTGTTTAACGTTCACCTCGCTCCCGGTGCTGTGAAATTTGGTACTTTCAGACTCAGCGGATGCTCCTGAAACCTCTTCCAGCACGAGCCGAGCTGTGAGTGTCCTGCCTCTCGTACCAAAACACAGGTTAGATGCAAATACACAGAGGAGCGACTTCTAAAAACCCGCGGTGAACTCAAAGTCACAGTACCTTGTTTTAGAAAAGGCTTGAAGCACAGCAGAGCCCCGCCTGCCCATCGTACTGCGGTAGAAATATGGGAATAATGGTTTGAATAATGGTTGTGAAGTAAAACATATCCGGGCATTGAACTGGAAATTAAAACTATCCTACTATTAAACAGAGACACTGTGACTTCTCTCCATTCCCAAGCCAGGAAGCCTCTGAAAATTCTTCTGTAGAATTTGAACCTTGCTGTTCTTACAGCTACAAAGTCAAAAAGCTGCTTTTCCCTTCCACAGCCCAAGCCTTGCCCTTTGCCAGACAAACTCCCATCCTACAGGTGAGCAGGACACAGCAACAATATTCCAACTCACAGAAAGTGGCCAACTCTCTATTTTTCATTTGTTTTCTTGCAATTCTGAGTTAAAAATCAATAAGAAACCAGTGTTTTACCTTCATTCCAGAACTTCTTCCTTCCTGCTTGAGTTACTTTTCTCAGCCTGGAGAAGAGGAGGCTGAGGGGAGACCTGCTTTCTACAACTGCGTGAAAAGAGGGTGTAGAGAGGTGGGGGTCAGTCTCTTCTCCCAAGTCACAGGTGATAGGACAAGAGGAAATGGCCTCAAGTTGCACCTGGGGAGGTTTAGATTGCATATTAGTAAAAATTTTTACACTGAAAGGGTTATCAAGCATTGGAATGGGCTGCCCAGGGAAGTGGCTGAGGCATCATCCCTGGAGGTATTTAAAAGACAGGTTGACATAGAGCTTAGAGACATGGTTTAGTGATGGTTTTTTATCAATTAGGTTGATGGTTGGAGTAGATGATCTTAAAGTTCCCTTCCAACATAGACAATTCTATGATCCTATGAAATGTGAGAAAGAGGCAGGGGTGTGTTTATAAGGCCAACAGCTGCTCCAGTGGTTGGGATGAACGCAAGAAAACAAGAACACAACACGCGAGGCAGGAAATGCTCTGGAAAGTTAAGCAGTGAGATGTAATGCAGGATTTTGAACAACCAAGTAATTCTGGATGAAAATTTAACAAAAGATAACTGCAGTAAAATATATTGAAAATGCTTAATAGATAAGTAGAACCATACACATTTAATTAGAATAAAGGATCCTTTAGAAAATATGAAGTCACTTCACCAACTTCAGAGGGCTAGAGAGAAAACAGCAGTTGCAACACATGATGGTGATCTGCAGGTGACAGCTCTCCCTGCCAGCAATGTCCAGTCCTCTCTCTAGCCCTGCAGATGCAGGAGATAAGGCCCCAGCTCCAAACACTGTAGTCATCCTAAAACCACTTGCTCTAATGAAACAGAACTTTGTGGATTACTTGAGAACCAAACATATTTTTAAACAACAAATACTGATGGGAAGTTGGTCAAAAGCTCCAGAACGTGTGTATGGATGGTAGGAGAGACTTCTTGTATTCTTTAATGTAAACCCTCCAATATTACGCTGTGCACACATCTAAGGAATACAAGAGCCTTTCACTGAGCAGAACTAACAAGAATTCAATTCAAATGACTCAGTCATTACCAAAAATTTTAAACGAACCAATAAAGATAATTAGTGCAAGGAGGATAGAAATGATTAATACCATCCAAATACCAGTGTATTTAATGAATTAGAAAAATGAACTGTTACTATCTCAGTGACAGCTTTTCAAAATTAGAGCTGTATCAGGAGTTTTTTTAAAAATGAAAGCATTGCAGGTTTTCCAGAATGGGAAAGATGATCAAACCTGTCAAAATACACACCACGTGTGAAGGGTGTAGGAAGTGGAATCAGACCCAATAGTTCATATGGTCAAAAGATTAGTTTCAAATTTAAACTATTCAAAGTAAATTAATTAAATTTCATTTTGATAAACTAAGTTTTAAATGCACATTCTACAAAAGCCATACTTTCCAGTTCCTTCTTTTGTTGTCAAAAAATACATGGACATACACACATGAAAGTATGATCTTTCAGTTTATTATTAAAAATACAACTTCCAGGTCACATGATTACTATGGGCTGACAGTATTTCCATGATAAGAAATCATCTATTTTGATGTGATGATTCTTCATTTCAAAGTTAAGCACTTTCCCAAGTTTCAAATCTCTTGAAGAAGTTCCTTCTTTTCCTCAAAATACTTCTGAAACCACTCAATGTGTTCAATCTTCTGCTTAATGCTGAGATATGGGTTTTTTGAAAGCCCACAGATGACTAGTTCCATGAAGTGGCGAATAGGTCCTTGCTTGGGAAAGTCTTTGAGGTGTTTCTCCAGAAAGATATGTTCATGAAATTCAGCATCATCCTCCATCCCTAACAGAAAGGACAGAAAAAAGACAAAGTTATTATCATAATATAACACCAAATTTACAAAAGTAAAAAAGGATATAGCTTGCAAACAATCTTAAATTAGTAAAATCAATGATTCTGTGACTTTTAATTCTTTTTCACAATTAAGCCAACCACACAAAAGTAGAAGGAACTGCAGAAATTTAAGACATTCATTTCTCCTTCCACACAAAAAATGTCAGCATGTATCATACTACATTACTACCATTTTGTCTACCACATTACTTCCATTTTATGCTCTTAATTGCATGAATATCTAGTATTTAAATCAACATTCTGGCTTGTAATCTTGCTGAAAGCTGAAGCTGGGCCAGGAGTTGAGGCAATAACTAAAAAAATAAATCAATCTTCTTGCTAAAAAGCTGTTTCTTCAATACGTGAAAACTTTGATTCACCATGGGTACCACCTTTTAGATCAGGGACACTTTCTTAATAAATTATTTAAGAAAACACTGATTGCCTAAATTCTGCAGAGGATTAGAGAACACAAGCTCCTCTTGAACAAATGAGGAGACCTCATAAAGTATCTAATACAGAAGACCTAACACACACTTTCACAAAATGAGGAGACCTCATAAAGTATCTAATACTGAAGACCTAACACAGACTTTCACACTCATTTCAAGACACAGTTTTAACATCCTATTGCTATCAAGTGGGCACAAAAAATTGTTTTTCTAACAGTTTCTGAATTTGTAAGTATACGCTGATGTAAAAGTGTTGTGTATCTCACCAGCTGCTACTTTTAAGTTGCAACCAGCGCAAAAGACGATGCATTCAAAAGCATCCACAGGACCACGGGACAAGGGACCACTGTAGATCTCTGATCACACACAACTCAGATCCTACGGTAGATTTTTGTTCTCTGTCCTGTGGATTGTCTTTGCTGTTGTTCATACTCTGATGCCAGCATACACTAGACAAAGACCCAGACCACAAATTCCTACATACAGAAAAAAGGCAGCTTTCATAGTTCCTAATTCTGAGACAAAAAACCAAGGCAAACTGGGATTTGCAGTTGAAAGATTTTTCTTCAGTTAGGGATACATGAAAAGTTTTATTTGATCACCATTTGCTATAAATTTGTACATGAGATTTGCATCTTTCAGTAAAAATCTGTTACTAGAGAAAAAATACAGCATACGAACATTTCCAGACAACAAAAATGGGAAGTCTACACCACAAGCGTAAGTGTACATGTTTTTCTGTTCTAGCCAGGATATGATATATTACTTGACAACATTAAATCAGTAGTATTAAAATTAAGGTAATTAAACCATGTCAGCCCTAGGCTTCCTTCTGTGTTACAGTTTCAGAAGAAATGATGCACATCTCTGGGATGGAGAAGTCTCACAGCTTGTATTCATTAAGTTCACATTATTTCTTTCCTGTTTTAAACTCTAGGTACTGCAGTATCTCAAGGAGCTGGGAAATATCTCTATGTTTCCCAGCTATACGTGGGTGTATCAATACCAGCTACATGCCACATTTATCTCCCTTGGCCTTGAAAAAAGATTTTTCAGAATCTCCCTTTATGTTAAAAGTAGGGGGGGAGGGGAAGAAAAATTATGTCAGCTTTAGAAGGTATATTTCTGCTGTGTTTGGAAACCTGTGTCAAATTACAGAAGCAGAAAGATGATGCTTTTACCACGCTACCCACACTGACTCCCCCCCCAGCAAAGGGAAGGTGGAATCTCGCTGTACCTGGATGCTGTTGGTTGCTCTCACAAGCTAACATTCTTTCCAGTTTTCCATACTTTTGCTTGTCACTGAAATCCAGGAGAACTAAACCAACAAACCCACTACTGAAAGAATCTGAATAATGCTGACAGTAATATTTGGCCTTCTGGATGCTCTTCTTTTGGGCATAGACACAGGATATCAGGACAGATTGAGTCTAATTAATAATTTCACTAACTTTCATCTCTAACCCAAAGGAAATGAAGCCATTTATAGTCTCACAAAAACGCAGGTCAAAATGAAATATTCCATCATGTATTTTGATCTCCCACTTGTCAAAGACGTGATATATGGTTTGGGGATGAAGTGTTAAGTCCAAACATTTCAGTTAGACCACATATTGCAGCCCTCTAAAAAGTAAAGTGTGCATCACAAAGACAGACCACAATTGCCCAAAGCCCCAGAGGCCGAGAGCTCTGGTGGGAACTGATTAGATGAGATATGCTTGTGTTACTCCCCCCACCTCCAGCAAATCATAACTCCTGCTGCATGGAGAGACAAGCCTGTCTCCCAGCCTCTCTTCCACTGTCCTCAGAAACCTAATTTGAAAGAACACGTGTGGTGGGAGTTTAAAGCAGAGGATTTGCTTTATCAATCTCAAAGCAAGAAATCACCCACTTTCAATATCCTATTTCCAGTTCCCTACGTACAACAAAACGGAAAGGCTGGGGAATTTCTCTAGGTAACACATTAAACCTTCCAAGACACGAGCAACCTTGCCTTAGAGACAGCATCTCAAATGCAGATGTCCATTCTTACAGGGAGTGTTGCTGACAGGCTATAAAAATGACTAAGTATCCTTATCTAGTGAAAGATGTCCCTGCCCATGGTAGTGGGGTGGACTACATGATCTTTAAAGGTCCCTTTTTCCAACACAAACCATTCTACGATTCTAGGATTTTAGAATGAGATAAATCACGTTCTTACTGTAAGTCCTGAGAATAGACACAGAGTTAGTAAAGCAAACCCCCATAAAATGATTGTGTAACGTTTACCACCTCTCTTTGGCAAACTGATCCAATGCTGGAAAACAAATTGTACGAGGAGCGGCTGAGGGAGTTGGGACTGTTTAGTATGAGGAAGAGGAGGCTGAGGGGAGACCTTATCACTCTCTACAACTACGTGAAAGGACACTGTAGAGAGGTTGGTGCTGGTCTCTTCTCACAGGTAATTAGTGACAGAACGAGAGGGAATGGCTTCAAGCTCCAACAGGGTAGGTTTAGAATGAACATTAGGAAAGAATTTGTCACGGAAAGAGTGATAGGGCATTGGAACAGGCTGCCCAGGGAGGTGGTGGAGTCACCATCCCTGGCTGTGTTTAAGGGACGTTTAGATGCAGTGCTGAGGGACATTGTGTACGGGATGACTTTGTAGAGTAGGGTAGATGGTTGGACTTGATGATCCCAAGGGTCTCTCTTCCAACCTAGACGATTCTATGATTCTCTGCTGGCAACAGCATCCCAGAAAAGCAGCCGGAAAAAGAACTTGGAGAACTTTTGCCTACAGAAGCCATCGGGGCAAGTGAGGCATTAATTTTCCGAGGCTTACATTAAGCCTATCACTTCTGCCTTAACAATCTCTGGCCCAAGAGAAGTATATTGCTCCTCAGAATAAGGTGTTAAACCAAAGTAGCACCAATAATCAGCACTGTCCTTTTTAATGACTGCACTTCTCAGAATTTGAGTCATCAAGGTATAAATGCATAGAAACAATTTTTAAAAGGGGCAGAAATCAACATTTTTCCCAACTTCTTGCCATGGGAAGTCATGGAGCAGAGCTAAAGCTACTTGAAGTGGAAGAAAAAAGCAGAAAGGAGGAGTGAGAATGGTATTATGCAAGCCATACTAATGGTCTGCTAATCTGGTAAAAATTAATCAGAGGTGGAGAGACCGAGAGGGAAAAAGGCAGTTTTCTGCCTAACAGTGACTTAAACTGCATCAGATCAGGGAAAGGACATGCAGGCAGAAGGAGACAACAAGGCAGCAGGGTGAGGGGGGCAAGACTGCTACTGGACAATGCCACAAGCCACTACATCTAGCCACATCTTCGGATGTTTGCACCAAGGCCAGAGAAGTTTTAAAAATCATAACCGTGCCCTGATGCTGCAAAGCGCAGGAGAATGCCTTGGTAAAGCACTCTAACAAGACCACCAGAGATGCTCTGGCACGCAAAAAAACAGTTATAAGTGGTCCTCATTCTTTTTTATATTTAATTTAAAACTGTAAAGGTTTTCATAATGCTAAAAATTGAGTAAACATGCTTCCTCAACAGAAAATTTCACAGAATCACAGAATGATATGGGGTTGGAAGGGACCTCTGGAGATCTTCTAGTCCATCCCCCCTGCCAAGGCAGGTCTACCCAGAGCAGGTTGCACAGGAACATGTCCAGGTGGGTTTTGAATGTCTCCAGAGATGGAGACTCCACCACCTCTCTGGGCAGCCTGTTCCAGTGCTCTGCCACCCTCAAAGTAAAGAAGTTCCTCCTTGTGTTTAGATGGAACTTCTTATGTTCAACTAAATTACATTTATGTTTTTAAAGCCACACGCTTGTGGCATAAAAGAAAAAACACACATTTCTTGATAGAGAACAAGCTGAGGTAATGTCCTCTTATTGAGGGAGATGACAGTTTCGTAAAAACTGCAAAATTAAGAGCAGGAGGAGCATCCTTCTTTGCAGAGCCGCTGAAATTATAGTATGTTGAGATAATTAGAGCAAGGTTCTCAAGATTTTAACTGTGCTTTGACATACGTAATCTGATTAACAGCCTGTGGCTGGCAGTTTGATAGAATGGAATTTACTGACTTGATATTTCAACCTGAGAGGTGACAGATTTTGGAACACTCCACTGGAATTTTCCCACATGACTAGTCTTTGTGGACAAATCAATAAAGATTTTTGTTTAAGGATATGTGAAGACTCTTTGTCCGTTTGCCACCCCACCCCAGACAGCACAGTTCCGCTCGCGTTGCTGCAACAGAAAAACCATTGGCCGCCAAAGACGCCTGGTCCACTTACGGCCCCAGACAGCAGGGTTCCAGCCACATTACAACAACAGAAAAAACACTGGCCACAGTGGTTTCACGCTTGCAAAAACATGACTAGAATACCCTCGGATTTCTACACGATGGAACAGATCAATTCTGGGAGCAGTGATTAAATTCTGTGAAGAAACTGCCAAAATAGGATGAGAATAAAAATTAAGAAACAATGAACCACATTATGCAATTTGCAACTCGGTATAGGACAGATTTTCAAAGACTCCCAGCTTCAGATACTAACCTGTTTTGCTTTCAGTGCCTGAATCATTGTAAAGTAGTTTTGTTTGAAGTCTTTAAAGTATTTTTAAAAAGAAAACCCACAGCCAAGCTCTCCTTGAAGTTACAAAGTCCTCCATTCCTAAAGTGTACACTTGCTTTGTGTAGTTCTTCCTCTCTTCCTTAACATTTGCTTACTCTTTGCTGGCTTCACTTCACACAGAGAGCTTTTTTTTTTTTTTTTTTTAAATGGTAATAAAAGTAAATAACATGCACAAAGATGTCTAGGTAAGATAGATGGCCAGAATGAATGAGCATTGTGACTGTTTATTCTCATGAAATAGATAGAATGAAGGGAGTTTAACACTCAGGCAGCACAGCCATGGAACTGGCAGACAGCTGATTAGGATCCAGCTAGTGACTTGGGCCAAGAGCCACACCAAAGACCAGAATCAGCATTATAAACCACACACAGCAGTTTGAAGGTTCCCTATACTCTGCTAGAAGCTTCTTTAAAGAAGCTGCAGAGTCAAAAGTATTATGTAACACGCTTGAATGGTGTTGAAAACATCAGGGCTGAGGGAGGCAAGGAGGGAAGGAAGGAGGGAGGGAGTTCTCCCCTTTTTGGCAGCAGCCAGTCTTCAGATCAGCCAAACCACCTGCAGGACTTCACCTAAGAGTGCCAGAATGAGTTCATCTGACATATCTCTGATTTGGGACAGTTGGAAAGTTGTATTTGTTTACTATCAAATGCATGACTCTCATCTGAAACACTATGTTAAAACAGACAAAGGTCATAACATGCTCTAATTCTCGAAAAAAGATAAATATAGACAGATAATAAAAGCTAACAGCACACATACCAGCTTCATTGTCAATTGGGAACTCCCACAGTATTCCTTCTTTTGTCCACTGGATCATCTCCTCAAAACCGTTTCGGGGAGGCTGCGCAGTTACTGCTGCAATCTCCTTCGCGAATTCCAGATCCCAAATTGTTGGAGAAGACACTAAAAAAAGAGATTTTGTAAGTATCTGTCAGCATACCAAAGACTTCTCACTAGCTAAAACAAAGTCCTTTAACATTAACCTTTACAGAGACTAATACTTTCAGCTGTGCAATTTTTTCTACCTTAGATGCCAGCATCACCTTTCTCAAATGAGAACCCTTTGTTGAAATGAAAGTCCATTAAATTCTCAAATGTCTGCTGAAAACGTATTCTTGAACTCCTAGGGGACAATTTATTTTTAAGCCTTTCACACAGAGCCGGAATTTAATTTTTCTTTTTTGTCTTTCACAAATTGTACATATGACAAACTCTGAACTTGACTGGTGCACTCTGCCAAAGGAATCTTGCTTACTACAGGAGTTTTCAGGTACTTCACAATTACACTCTCCTTCAGGGAGACAACTCCATCTAAAAACGATAACAATTCCTTTCCCAACAATCCCAAGCATCCCAGTTTGTCTCTTGGGCTTGAGAAATCCTGGTTTCCTATTCTTCTCCCAAAGTCAAACTGTCCCTTCAGGGGTGCATCTTTTCTGATGCATATAATTAATTTTTTTTCTTTAATCAAAGTGTGCTTGTATTGCACAGAGTTAATCTTGAGGAGTTCCTGCCCCTCCACCCAGGAGAACTGGTCATGAGCCCAGTCTGAACCGCATTGCTGAAGGGAACAAGCTGTTACCAGAGGACAGGGAGGAACCTCGGGCTGCCTTCTCATCAGCTGGCCTCACTCCGGCCTCGGTCGCTCCCCCCTTTGTTTTCTTGCCTCCCCCTGTTATCAATTCACCCTAAGCTCCTTGGAACACAGACCTCGATGTGAATTCAAATGTTATACTCCATTTGAAGTGGATCATGGCCAATCAGCTATTCTTTCACTACTCATAAGTCCTAAGTATTTAAAACTAAGATACAATTTCATCTTTGGCTCAGTGGCTTATGGCACAATCAGATTAAAAAAAAATAAAAAAAAAATCTCCCCCCTCCTTCAGGAAGAAAACAAGATGAAAGGGCAAACTATTTTTTTACATACTGAAGTGGTTTCATTTTTTGTGTTAAATCAGGAGTATATTTTTTCAAATTATTTCCTACTTAGCAGGGAAATTTCCAGAACTATATTCCCTAGCTGCCTACTTTGATTTGAGGGCTGCAGGCAGGAATGAAATACAGATAAAAGACAAGATGAGAAATCATACAGAATGAAATTATTGTCCACATCTTAGAATACCTTCTAATAATGCGCTACTAATAAATCTTCTAATAGAAGAGAGCAGAAATTCATTTTTTCAAGCTTGCAGTAAAGGTGATAGACATTATATTTTCACCTCCATGAAACAGAAAATAATACTGATATTTTATGTTAACAGTTACTGATACTTTATGTTAATAGTTATGAATAATTTTTTGAGGGTGCAAATTTACTTTCCAGTTAACATTCATAATATAACACAGAACTTGCTTTTCCATCATGTATAAACAGTATTTGAACTCGTTATCTCCACTAATATGAGCCAAGAAAGTGAAACCAAATGAATCAAGGTATCAATTATTACACTGGTATTTCCTGAGATTAATGCAACAATTTTTTTTTTGTCATCAGGCTTAGTCAGTGAGTCAAGTAAAAAGTTTCCTGGCTCAGAATATATGGTAGATTTCCTCAAGGCTACCTGGAATCAAACAAGGAAACACCACATAAAAAGCTGAAAGAAGCTTACTTCTTAATATCTAATTATAAATCCAATGAAGTCCACCTGGTCTCTTACACAATTTGTGCACACTCCAGTTTTGTGTTAAAAAACAAGTGTATCTCAACTTTTCAATCCAGGGTGTGCCATTGTACCTGCATTGTGCTCGTGCAAAAGGGAAAGGTTAAATTCTCACCATTTTACCTGAGTAAATTGGACTTAACTCAAATGCCAGTTCCTTGAACATCACATTTGTCAAGACAGCTAAAAACAAATGCTGCATTGCTCATTACGGTCAAGACAGCTAAAAACAAATGCTGCATTGCATTACATTTTTTTATGTAAAACGGACCAATTTTAAGGAAATTATTCATCTTAAAAACCAGCAAATTGAATTCCATTCTAATAAGCAACATTTATAGTCCACCACAGAGGTGGCTGCATTCAGAAAGCTCACAGCTGCTTGAAAATATGCAGAGACCACTATCTGACATTTTACTAAAGAAATTAAGTAAACAAATTAATTTCTCCCTGCTGTTTCAAGTGTAAAAAAAAAAAAAAAAAGCAGAAAATTACTCAGCTAGAATCTGGCAAAATCTAATAGTCCTACTCTTAAAGCAGGAACAAATACATATAATTTTTCCATAATTTTCTAAGATATCCGAAAGAAATACCATTTCTTCTCCAGCTGCTGGCTTCATACATAGTTCTAAGTCACTACACTGGAATAAAACTGTTTTTCCAAAGGGCCTCAGAACAGCTTAGGGAAATGAGCATATTAAAGATCAACACCAGCAATGCAGAGTTTCATTGTTCAGAGAGAAAAATGAGGGAGTTCTTTACATGACTCGCCCATAATCACACACTCTTAGCCAAAACCCAGTCTGCAGTAAAGCTAAGCCTTCACACATGAAAGCTGTCCCCCTCATGTGGCATTAAGACTGTTCCTGCAGAGCTATGCCGTTCAGTAACTATGAAGCTGGGTCATACCTGGTTTGCCCCTGTTTTTTGGTTTTATAAAACTCATGTATGAGTTTTAGTATATATAATTGGTGGATAAGGAATTGGCTGGATGGTCGTATCCAGAGAGTAGTGGTTAATGGCTCAATGTCTGGATGAAGATCAGTGAGAAGTGGCGTCCCTCAGGGGCCTGTACTGGGACAAGTACTGTTCAGTATCTTCATCAATGACATACTGGGATTGAGTGCACCCTCAGAAAATCTGCGGATAACACCAAGCTGAGTGGTGTGATTGAGGCACCTGAGGGATGGGATGCCATCCAGAGGGATCTGGACAAGCTCAAGAAGTAGGCCTGTGTGAACCTCATGAGGTTCAACAAGACCAAGTGCAAGGTCCTGCACCTGGGTTGGGGCAAGCCCCAGTATCAATACAGACTGGGGGATGAAGGGATTGAGGGCAGCCCTGCAGAGGAGCTGAGTCTGCAGTAAAGCTAAGCCTTCACACATGAAAGCTGTCCCCCTCATGTGGCATTAAGACTGTTCCTGCAGAGCTATGCCGTTCAGTAACTATGAAGCTGGGTCATACCTGGTTTGCCCCTGTTTTTTGGTTTTATAAAACTCATGTATGAGTTTTAGTATATATAATTGGTGGATAAGGAATTGGCTGGATGGTCGTATCCAGAGAGTAGTGGTTAATGGCTCAATGTCTGGATGAAGATCAGTGAGAAGTGGCGTCCCTCAGGGGCCTGTACTGGGACAAGTACTGTTCAGTATCTTCATCAATGACATACTGGGATTGAGTGCACCCTCAGAAAATCTGCGGATAACACCAAGCTGAGTGGTGTGATTGAGGCACCTGAGGGATGGGATGCCATCCAGAGGGATCTGGACAAGCTCAAGAAGTAGGCCTGTGTGAACCTCATGAGGTTCAACAAGACCAAGTGCAAGGTCCTGCACCTGGGTTGGGGCAAGCCCCAGTATCAATACAGACTGGGGGATGAAGGGATTGAGGGCAGCCCTGCAGAGGAGCTGAGGGTACTGCTGGATGAAAAGCTGGACATGAGCCAATAACATGCGCTCGCAGCCCCAAAAGCCAACCATCTCCTGGGCTGCATCAAAAGAAGTGTGGCCAGCAGGTCGAGGGAGGTGATTCTGCCTCTCTACTGTGCTCTGGTGAGACTCCACCTTGAGTGCTGCATGCAGCTCTCGAGCCCTCAGCACGGGGAAGTCACGTACCTGTTGGAGCAGGTCCACAGGAGGGCCACAAAAATGATCAAAGGGCTGGAGCACCTTTCCTATGAGGACAGGCTGAGAGAGTTGGGGTTGTTCAGCCTGGAGAAGAGGAGGCTCTGGGGAGACCTTATTGCAGCCTTTCAGTACTTAAGGGGGCTTGTAAAAAAGGTGAGGACAAACTTCTTTGTCGGCGCTGTTGCAACAGGACAAGGGGTGACAGTTTTAAACTAAGACAGGGTAGATTCTCACTAGTAAGGCTGAAATTTTTTAAAATGAGGGTGGTGGAACACTGGCACAGGTTGCCCAGAGAGGTGGTAACATTCATGGAAACACTCAAGGTCACGTTGGACGGGGCTCTGAGCAACCTGATCTAGTTGAAGATGTCCCTACTCATTGCAGGGTTGGACTAGACGACCTTTAAAGATCCCTTTCAACCCAAACTATTCTATGATCCTAAACATATATGAAGAGCTTTATAGTAGGTAAAGCAAGGCATTGTTTGTCAGCCACTTAAAGGATCTCTCAACCTACACATGCAACATTTAAAAAAAAAAAAAGAGAAGGCCACAAAGGAATTGAAGGTCTTAGGTTGTTTTTTTTTTCCACCCCGCTTATGCTTAGCCACCTGTAGAGCACAGTTGCTTCCCTGGCATCACAACCTTGTGTTTCTTTGCCATAAAAATGAAGGCAGCAAGTCTGCAACTTGAGCGCACGCAGAGAAGACTGGCTTTAGTGACAAAAAAACAGTTTTACCTTCAAGTTCAGTAACAGTATGTCCTGATTAATACAGAAAAAATTAACCTACTACACTGCATGGAAGCTTTGCTTACTAAAAATCATTAAAGTATTATTAAAGTAACATTAAAGTAAAGTTAAAGTATTATTTTTTTATAGGTCTGAAAGCAGGAAGTTAACAGGTCATAAGTCTCTTTCACAACAGTGAATCTCTTGATATTCTAAAAATTCGGCACTTGGCTTCACTGAGTTTTTAATTATTGAATTTCCACTAACCTGTTTTCAGTGCTTTTTCTGTTTCTGTAGAAGCCTTAGTGAATATATTAAGCCTCTTTCCCACTTTGAGACTTCTATAAACAAAAAAGAAAAACGATATTTAGTATTTCACAACACTTCACAACATTGCCAGATAACAAATTTAAAAGCACAGAATATTCTCATGAACTAACAGATCTCCGGAGAAAAAAACGGAGATAGTGACTCTCACTAAATCCTCAGGCTTTTAACGAGAGAAAGTGTTTATGACTTTATTATTCATCTGTAACAGAGCTTCCCAAAACATTTCTGTGTGAAAGAATGAGCATAAATCAAACCTTATATTTGCAGACATTTTTTTACTGAAATATTTAGGAAACTGAACAAAGCTAAACAGCATGAAACCACAGACTCAAGCAATTTTACCAAGCTGCAACTAAAAAGTGAATCTGGTGATTTGGGTTTTTTTCCCCTGTAAAAAATATTGCACAATTCAGGAAAAGAAAACGCAACAGCTAAATCAAACAATTCCTGCTTTATGACATAAATAGCCTATTTGGCAGATTACACAGCCACCTTCTCTGCCATATGGCAAACACTCAAAGTATATCTGTATGATGCATTTTAAAAAGCATCACCCTGATGCTCTAAAAATCTGACCATCTATTTTCAATCATATTTATCTTTACCATAAGCTTATACTAAAAAAAAAAATAAAATGCAAGAGTTCAACAAGTAATCAAAATAAATTTTCTTATAAATGGAAACAAAGAAAAATCAATGCTTTTACTGTAGAACTTGAGAACTTACGCTGAACTTGAGAAAAAAATTATTCTTTTAATCACACAATCTTTCAGGTTTCCACTGAAATTCTAACCATTCCTACTTTATGTTATTACATATTCACTGTCACCCTGGCAATACCTGCCCTTCCTGACCTTAAAATTTCTCCTCTCTGGATTTATTGCAGATTTCTGATGGCCCCAACTACTTTTGCAAACCTGCTCTTGTCGTATTACTTTTTACTGATGTAACTACCCTGGATCTATTTCAGCACAGAGCAATTTAATTACAGAGCCTTAAAAGAATGTTGATTTAGGATTGTATTTTCCTATCTGTGTGTAACTCCCAATAACATTGGCCAAAGATACAAGCATGACTTGGAAGAACATTTATTCGAAAATGACTAGTTCAAATGACTATAAAGCAATATCACTCATTTCATTGAAATCTACTAACTCAATTTACACTTAGATAGTCTTCCTAACCCATTCTTTTCATATTATCAATAGATAAGTGTACTTGTTAGATTTTCAGGGAGGCAGGAGGAAACTTAGGACTGAAACTGAAGACAGTTTGCTCAATACAGGGATTTTAAAAACTATTTTAAGGTATTGTTCCTGAAGTTACATACCAAGCACAGTTTCATCACATAACCAGGGTGAGACAGCTTCTCAAATATCATAAATTTATAAAAGTTCTCAAACATATGTGAAATTCACTTTCCTTTGCAGTATGCTAATAAATGAAAAGTTTAGTGAAGATAAAATATATACACTGTACAGTCACGTAAAAGCTCAGGTTTTCAGTTTATACTTCTTGATCATATTATTTCTATTCTTTCAAACTTCGGAAAACTTCTAATCCAACACCTTAAATAAAGTATTTCTCATAGTCAGTCCAGAATCATAGCCTAATAACAAAATTACTCTCATGTGACTACCAACTCTGTCTGATAATTATCCCCAAACTAAAAATAGAGCTATTCAACATTGATAATGAAATCGGTTCCCTTGCTCCTCAAACCAGCAACTCAGGACAGAAATATCTAAGTCAGGAGGGCTTAGTCTAGAACCTTGTTCCACTTCTTCCTTTCAACCTCCATTGCAAGAAGGTCCTCTTGCACTTTCCACAAGCTTTGCATCAGGAAAAGAAAACACTGCTTGCTGGCCTTGTAGCACTGAAAAGGCCCATGAGATACTTCCCTAACACACCTTTAACAGTTTGGTAGCTCAAGGACAAGGAAGTTACACAGCAACATTTCAGCAAGCTGGCTAAGTTATTCTAACGACTGGCTACAGCCACATTGTTGAGGTTTTTGCATGATATACATGGCTCAATGCATATGGTACAATTTGTTCCTTACAGAAAGTCACAACCCTCTGTTTTTGATATACTGAAATAGATATCTTGACCAAAAAGGGCAGAATATTGTATACCTCCCCACCCACTCATTTATGCCCTTTATTTTTTTCTTAGTTATCTAAAGTCTGCCTTCAGCATTATCTATCTAAACACAAACGACTCCCTCAACTTCCAGACCCTAAGCCTAAGAAAAGGGGATTCATTTACAAATTAAATGAAGTATTAGAGAAGTTAACCTTATTAAAAACAGAACTGCTAGAGAAAGAATATACTGAGAAGGAATGTGATGATGAGCTGCCATGGGAAAATAAAAAGACCGCAGGCAAAAAAGCATAGCTTACAGGAATTAACAAAAATAATAAAAATCTAAGAGCATTCCTTAGTTCATTGAGAAACAGACTGGCCACATAAACAGCAGCAAGATAAATTTAGGGAGTACCCTGACTAGCCACTTACATTTATCATGTAAATGATAAAATTCATTTCATAGACAACTACATCACAGACAATAGAAAAATAAATTACAAAATCACTTATCAGTTGCAACAACGTGGTAAAAAACAGAAGAGCCTTAAAAATCTCTTCAAAACCCCAGCAGAATGGATAAAATTTTTCTAAAGATAGAATATTTATCAAAGTTTTCCATTAGATGAAAGTAAGCCTTCAAAGCCTCCATTTCCCAAAAAGTTAAGTGATATAAAACTGTATTATGTGTAAGTGAAAATAATTTAAACTAGTTAAAACAAACACAGTTACATTTCAGCACCAAATATTTTTAATTATCTAAAATTTGGTATTTAAAAGTGCACATTATTTAATTATCTGTTTAACACTAACTGATGTGTTCTCACAGAAGTTTATTTCAATGTTAACAGCACTTTTTGAAAAGACCTTAAGTAACTTCTTTAAGCTCTGAAGTATCATGGTAACATGAATATGTACAACTAAATCTAAAATATTATCCATTAGTAATTTTTTGCACACTCCTTGTATTGGAAGGGAACACCACAAAAATACCTTCTGGACTCAAAAGACTGAGGTGAGACTCTTCCAGGCCTGATCCTTTGACCATCCTCATCCGACTCCCAGGAAATGCGACTGGATATCCTCACACCTCTCTCAGCTGGGGACTGCCTTTTGACTGACATTTCTGAAATAACGTTGCTGAAATTAAAAACATGAATGTAAAAACTCAACAAATGAACAAAGCAAGGGAAGTTCATCACATGTATCAACCAGAAACTCTACTCTCAATTGTTTTCATCAGACTTTCTAAGATAGAATTACACATTCTTCACAAAATACATGCATTTTTAAGTCATCAAACATTCAAGTCTTACTTTTTAAACCACCTCAGTTGTTACATTCTGTATAGATTAAATGAAAAGTGCTATTTCAGCCTACTAAACCTACAATGAATGCTTTCTTTGACATAATTTAGCTTCCAACTAAAAGAAAAAATTCATCTATCTGCATACCAATATTCACAGAGTGTGCTAGGGATGTTTTGCTTAAGTAAATGAGGAATGTGTCTGGATATAAGGAATACACTGAAACAGAGGCAAAAATCACCAGGTTTTTTGGACAGGAACCAGCACTGCCCAGGGACAGATCCCTGCTGCTGCAGACCAAAAGGAAGCTTGCCTTCACACATCAGCTGACATGGGTCAATCATGCCACCCTAATAAGTAGGTCACCTTTCCTGATCCACTGCAAGCTGTTGCATTGTGTAATCATATTACAGCACTGACAGACCACATCTTTCTTCGTAATTCTGCAGTCAAAAAACCATACATGAAGAACAAATGCTCTGATCTCTTCCGGTGTAGTTTGCAGCTCATTCTGCATGCAAAGGGCAAAACGCACCACCTGGCCTCTGCCCATTAGTCCCCTTAATTGGTAAGTCGGTTGGTTGGTAAAGACCAAGCTGGTAACTGTTCCTCACAGCCTCTCTCCACCCAACTGCTTCCAGTAACATGCAGTCATTCAAGATTGCAATGCTCAAGTTTTAAGACAGCCTCAAAAAAAAACAAAAATAGGCCGAGTCAAAAACACTGCATAGCCATTTTATGAAAATCTGAATGAAGTTCAAACTGTGTTTTTAGTAGTTTAAATCAAAAGAAATCTTATTAACAAGAAAAAAATACTGGAAAATTGTAAAAGCTAATTGCCACAGCACAGTAGGATTCCTCTTCAGTCTTAGATGTGGTTGTGAATGGTGGAACAAGAATAGCATAGCGCTTCAAGTACCTACTCTGAAAGAAAGGCATCCAAAAGCAAGTTTTAAATAATTTCATTTTATCTTAAAGAAAAAAACCAATCTCAGATTAGTTGCGTATCTCACACTAGAAATTACTCTGTGAAGTGCCTGCCGGCATTAGCGAGCTGGTGTTGGGCCAGAGGCTTGACACACTTCTGAGAGTCAAGGGGACATAATTCCTAAGGTCAGTCACACAGAGCCCAGCCCAAATGCTTGGCTGGGCTGCAGCTGGCAAGGCGGGAGTGTTCCTGTGCTACAAGGGGATCAGGCTTCCTCAGAGAAGCTCTTCTTACAGCTGACATTGATTTATTTGTACTTTTGCACAGCAGGTCTGGACAGACTATGTTACCAAGCTTTCAGAACATGCAGTCAATGGTATCGTTCCCACTGGAAAGTCCTAATGTCACCCCATCATTGGTATCTGAACACTTCTGTTAGCAACATTCATCACTCCATCATTAAAAGTGTCCCTGTTTTAACTAAAACTACAAAGGTGTTTTTAATGTCCTTTGTAATGAAAGATATCGGGTTACAAAGTAATACTCCAACCCCAGTGCACCTACAGTGGTTAGGTATTATATGATATTACATGGTATTACCTCATGTCACAACGTGAGGTTAAAAAAATAAGCTCTTAGATACTTCTACTTTCCAGAGATGGGAAGAGGTAGAGTTTTTGTAATTAGCACAATTAGCACAGATTCTGTCTCCTTCCTGATCACCAATCATAACTATAACACTACAAACAGAGACTCAAGGAACTTTGCATATACTTTAGCCTAAGGTCTGAACTACTTTACTACTTCCTCACTGAAAACAGGAGCTGAAATTTCAGCTTGTAATGCTGCAGATTTTATTTTGGTGTAGCACTGTTGTAATTTCCACTGAGTGAAACTTCATCCCACACTGAGAAAACTAAATTCCTGTATTGTTAATATTTTCCCCTCCTAGCGAACACACTGTCCTCACGCTGGCTACAAAACAAGGCCATGAGGCAACCGCGTACAACAGCGACCTCTGGAGGCCACGCCACAACCCTGGGGAAAAAAAATAGCATGAACCAAAAGATCCACACAACATATAATTTATTTCATACCCTCATAAATCTCAATAGCAGTATCCCAGTTTTTTGCAACTGAGCATTATATGCCTCTACCGCTTGTGAAGGTATCCAATTTTTAAACAGTTATAAATAATGGAGGTATATATACTGTCTTTTGAAATGTGTCAGCATATTGAATGGAAATCCTTTAGGGAAAAAAAAAGTTAAATTGCCCGTATTCTCTTGTTGTCAAATAAAAACCAACACTAAATAATCATGTAATTGCTTTCTAATATATTAAAAGCATTTTAATGCCTTCTGGACTTTAAAAATCAACAGCTTTAACACTGACCAGAAAGCCAAAAGTACTAAATTCACCTCAGAGTCTGACTGTGAAAGGTTGCTTTTAACCATGTTTTCAGTCATGATAATCAACAAGATTTGCTGGTCTTTCTAGAAAACTCATCCATTGATAGAGTTTCAAACTGTTACCTAACTATCAAGGAAGAAAATGGAACTTTTGAGCATAAAATAAAAAAAAAAAAATACCATATATTCACAGGTAAAAGCAAGCTGGTACACAAAGCTGCCTCAGGAAGCAGAACTTGCCAACTCAAAGCAGAGCAAGCCAGCCCCGCCATTCCTAGCCAACCCAAAAAGGCTGGGTTTGGTTGAAGAAAATGCATTTTTCTAACCATAATGACTCATCCACAAGCACGTTATAAACCATTGTGATAGCACATCTTAACCAATCGATCAACTAGATAGAGGCACTGTACAGTTGCAGGGCCTTTGGTTTTCGAATTTCTGAAGAATTTAATCTCTCAACAGAAAAAAGCCATTTTGCTTACACTACAACTTCCTTAGATGCCTTCTTTCTTCCACATCAGTCATAGCTGGATAGGTCCTTCAGGGAAAGTGCAATGGGTGGTAAGGTCAGCAAGCCCTTGTTGCCATGTTCCTTATATCTTAAGGAATAGCCCTTGTTCCTTGTACTTTAAGAAATAGGTGCAGGAGCATACAAGGTTTGCCACTGTATGTATTAGCTCAGTCAGTATCAGTACGGTCCTCCAACATCTTATCAGAAATTGAGGTAGGTTCTAATTACATTTAAGTTGGCCACCCACAGCCAATGCTATTATTAAGATGTTTGTGTACTCTGCTCTTCCAAAAATCTCAGTGACCGAGATGGAACAACCTCATAGGTAATTAATAGCTTAATGAATATATGCTTTAGGTAATATATTCCTTATTTATTCTACTTATACTAAGTGTCTCTTAAGTTTTTGGTAATACTGCACACACAAAAAACCCAACCAAAATGCAGAAAAACATCAATCTTGCATAAAAAAACCAGATGTCTAACCTTGAAAGCTACTCATTTTGGCTCCAAAAGCAGAGAGAGAAGCTTCTGTCAAGTTCTTGAGATCTCCTATATTCAAGCCAAGAGGACATTGTGAAAACAGAGCACACACACAGCCTTTGGGGATGCTTGCGTGTACCACTTAAAACCATACTTCCTCCTCAAATAGCACAGACTTTACACGTTTGGAGAGAATTTCATTCTGCTCTCCACAACCACCATTAGAGCTCTTGGTAGAAAGAATCATGAATGCAGGCTAAAACGGAAACTTGCACAGTTTCTCCCTTTTCCCTTCTTTTCACGACCTCTGAAAAACATGTATTTAGTTTAACAAAGTTACTCACTGAGCATTGTGCTTCCCAAACTATTTGCAAGCATCTAACTCGATCCATTTGCAAGCATCTAACTCAATCCATTTGCAAGCATCTGTCACATTCTTCCTTAGTTCTCATTCACGTACAGGGCAGCCTGACATCAGCCACAAACATCACTAGTTTTTTAGCTACTCTGTTCACAGTTAATTGACAAACACACAAATCAAATCCATTACTGATCCCTAGAGCAACCTACGAATAATACAATAATGGGCCAGTCTTAGGTCCTAGTTTTTTTATATTCACAGAATAAATTAAGAGGCTTGCAGTTCACAACACAGATATAAATAAGTTTCACATTCCTATTTTGCCGAAGATCCAATTTTCTGTTTAGTTCAGCATTTCACCTGGATTTAACGCCTAATTTTCTGAGTAGGTATCTAAATACTAGCTTAAAAAAAAAAAAAAAAGAGAACCAAAAACCTGTCTTTAGTCATCATCCAAAAGAGCAGTGTGCACAACTGTTTCCGTTTCCAAACAAATGTTTCTCATCTGTTTGAAAGCCACACTGGAAACGGATTTAAGCCAAGAGATGAGTTTCTTGGGTTGACTGGAAAGTTTTGAAAGGAAGGGTGGGGCTATAAATAGAGCTGCTCTAGTTCAGCTATGCAGAGCTGTCATGAAAATTCACCAGTCCAGACAGAATGTCTGAAACGTCCACAAATCCATCCATTGTGTGAGAATTTCAGAAGCTTAAAAAAAAAAAAGTTATTTTGCAAGCCTGTCCAAGAAAGTGATGATCCTGGGCAGGAAAACAATTCCATTTCTGCAAAACCATTTTAGAATAAGGATGGCAAAATTTAGGGAGTCTGGTATAACCAGACCAATGATGTTCCCATTATTCATTAATTCCGAGGATAACCTGTCCGAATTTGTCTTTTAGGGCCATCTTTCCAGCACAGAACCCAGTCACCTTCAAGATGACACTGCAAAAATCAGAAATTTGAAAATTATTGAGAATAACACTCAATATACAGACCGTATGTTAATAGTTCCCCCCTTTTTCTGTTTATCTGTGGTTTCTTCATGTCGTCTCAGTTGTGCAAGTAGTTCTGATTCTGTCTGTTTCTTGTTGAGTGGCAGGGAAGCCGCAACCGAAGAAGCAGCCTCCACCAGCTCCGGATTTAAAGGTTTGCCTCTGTAAGAGACGCAACAGATATGGAAATATAAAAAAAAATAAATTAAAAGCCTTAATATATTTAAATTGTCATTTCTGTACTGTCGTTCCATGTCTTAATAACTCAGAATTTACAGTTAGCATTATCCCAAATGGGGGTGGTCATGGGGACGGCCAGGTTTTTCCCTCCATTGCAGTAGTCATCAACTGCCAAATGACACTGACAAGGTCTTGTTTTCAAAGCCAGGAAAATCGCAGCCTTACACCACTGCACAGCTCCTCGGCTGTGAAGCTTAGAAGACCAAAGGCAACACAGACCTGCAGAATTAACACATTGTGGAGGGGAGCCACCAACAAGGCTTGACAATCATGATGCCATCCTTTTTTTTTTTTTTCCTATTTCTCAGTTCTGTTGTATTTTATTTTAATATTACCTCCCCCCTCTCATTAAAATAACTCTCCACAGGCAGACGCTAGTGCTACCTTTCAAGAGTTTCAGTGCAAGAAAAAGGTAGCATAGAGTAGAAACAACATCTTTTGGCCAGGTTCTCCCATGACTTCCTGCAATCTCCATCTACGCTACATTTCCTTCCAAGGCTACTTTTCCATACTTGGAAATGGCATTTGATGCTTTATTTTGTCTTAGACAGTGAAAAAACCAAACTTGAAACAAGGAGAAAGAGGCAAAGAAAAGTTTGTTATACTTTACCGCTGGATGTCTTCTTTAGCTTTCTGAAGCATAGTACCTTCACTGTCTGGGCCTGCCAGCTTGTTTGTGGCTTGCTTTTTGTTCTCATGTGCTTTTAACTGTTGGAGTTTCTTCCTGTAGCTCACTTCTACTTTCATATCACCAATAATGTCTATCAACTTCTGCTTCGGTGTTTCTGCCGTGCTGCCCTGACTCTTTGATGCCGCTTTAGTGGTGCTGTCTTTGGAAGGAGTAGATTCATCTTTCTCAGTAGAAAGCACGCTGCTTGTGCTGAAGAGTTTCTGTATTTTGCTACAAAAAAATCAACAAAAAAATTAGAAGTTACAAATAGGGTCCAACACTGAATTTGGTAAGCCTACCAAAAAAGCCATTAGTTAACAACTATCTAGGCCTAATCGAGTACAAACTGAGTATGTTAAGTACATGTCAAGCATGCTCCTTTGGACTTCTGAGAAGGACTAGGACACTATTTAAAACTCTTGGTTTTTTATGGTTTGTTCATCACAAAAATCACATAAACAACTTTATTTCCTCCACAAATAAACTGTGTTTAATCTAAGAACTTCAAACTTTTAAAGTACTCCTGCATTAGGTAGCAGACTGAGAGTTTGAATCTACTGGTACCTGATACTTAAGTTCACTACTACTACAGAAACCCACTGAAACTCTTAAAATAAGGCAACAAGGAGATCACTCCTAGCCACTTGAAAAAAGACTGCACACACACATTTAGCTTCACATTGTTTCACACTTGTGGCACTGCTACAGATCACATTCCCCTACCCTATGCCCTGCAATACAGCAGCCAAGCATTTGTGCATCCATATGAGGAAATGGATCCTGCTGCAAGATAACCCAGTAAAAAACAAAAAAAAGTCATTTTGGTCACTTTTCCCTCTGCAACAGCTCCTCTACCCAGTTTACCATGTCACTGCAAAGAAGTGGTAAAGAAGTGGCTTTCGCAAAGAAGCCTAAATTGGCACAGTGAGGATGTGAAGCGAAGGATAGCTGCTCAGGATATTGCTGCAACACAGACACAACAGCATTCTCTAGAAAAAAGTTATCATAAAATTCAAAGAACTGTTCTTTTAACACTCTAAAATTAAATGTTTAAGTCTTAAAATTGAAAACTATTTTTTGGTTTAAAAATCGCTTTCAAAATAAAGAAAAAAACCTTACAATTAACTATTTCTTTTGATTCAAAATAAAACACTTCCACAGATCTTAAAACACTCCAACAAATCTGAAGGAATTTTGACATACCTTCCCCCCTCACACTCACCTCTCCCTGGCTAAAAAAGAAAAATCTGCTAGTATCAGCAGACACCATATTACTACTTTAGTCACTCTGCACTTAATAAATTGCCGGCATTAAATTGTCAGCATTAAACCCTAAGTTTCAATGTTGAGAAGCAACAGGAAAATTTAAGGAAAGTTTCAGAACCACATTATTGAGAAGACAGTAGGAGTCCTGCTGTTTTACATTGAGCTGTTCTCCACAGATCTTTTTCAAACACATGTTTTTCATTAATTCAGGCTGCATGCTCCTGAAAACTATTTATCCATTCAGAGATCTCCGCTTACAGCGTCAGAAAACCACACCAAGCCTGCAAGCCTTAAAACATTTAAAGTCAGGAGTACACTGCAGTTTGTGTTACTGTATTTCATCTACCATCAGGTTTGTCTTCTGCTCAGACAAACCCCACCCTGCCTTAGAAAGAAAGCAACCTGCTTTATACACTAGGCTAGCACAGCATCAGAGCTTGTTCAAAAAGATCGAGCTTTGAAATGAAAAAAAAACCAAAACGCACAACTCATTTTTATTAAAAAACTCTTTTTTTAAATGAAAAGTAAAAATGAACTTCCAAATACTAGTTTTTGACCAGCACTTTGGGCACACACCTCTGCCAACAGGAGGCACAGCTCTGCTGGTACAAAAATGCTGCTGGGGTCACACAGGAGTGCTGTTCACAGCAGTCACAGATCGGATCATAGAACTGTCTAGGTTGGAAGGGACCTTTCAGATCATTGACTTCAACCATCAACCTAACACTGACAAAAAACACCACTAAATCCTGTCCCTGCGCACCACTTTGACCCATCTTATAAATGCCTCTAGGGATGGCAATTCCACCACTTCCCTGGGCAGCCTGTTCCAGTGCTGAATAACCCTTCTGGTGTAGAATTTTTTCCTAATATCCAGCCTGAACCTCCCCTGGTGCAACTTGAGGCCATTTCCTCTAATCCCGTCACCTGTGACTTGGGAGAAGAGACCGACCCCCACCTATCTGCAACCTCCTTTCTGATAGTTATAGAGTGCAATAAGGTCTCCCCTCAGCCTCCTCTTCTTCCAGGCTGAACAACCCCAGCTCCCTCAGCCTCTCCTCATAAGACTTACTCTCCAGACCCATCACCAGCTTCGTTGACCTTCTCTGGACCCGCTCCAGCACCTCAATGTCTTTCTTGTTGTGAAGGACCCAAAACTGGACACAGTGGGGGCCTCACCAGTGCTGAGCACAGGGGGACAGTCACTTCCCTACTCCTGAGGGCCATGCTGTTCCTGGTACAGGCCAGGATACTGCTGGCCTTCCTGGCCACCTGGGCACACTGCGGGCTCAGGTTCAGCCGGTTGTCCACCAGCCCACCGCTGTCAATGCTGGACAGGCCTCCTCGCTGCCCCGGTGGGCTCCAGCCCCGAGGCACCGGGGAACAGGGCAGCCTTCGGGCAGGGCTGCAGCAGGCGGGCACCGGGAAGGCCCCGCGTCCCACCCGCCCGGTGCAGGCAGAAAGTCGCTAAAAATGCGCTTAACGCCAAGGCCAGCGGCGGCGAACCGCTCCCGGGGCGCAGGCCGCGACCAGGCAACCCCCGCCCCACCGGGGGCGCCTTTCCCCGGGGAGCCCAGCAAACCCCGTCCGCTCAGAGAACCGCGGTTGAGGGTGGTGACCCGGCAAACCGCCCCCCCTTCCCCCCGTCGCCGTCGGGCGCCCGCTCCCCCCGGTGAAGGATTTACGGGAGACGACGGTACCTGTGCGGCCTCCCCGCCAGCCGCGCTGCCCCCGCCGCCTCCCGGCCGCTCGCTGGCCCGGCGAGGAACCGGGCGGCGAGGCGACAG